TTTTTTTTTAAACATTTTTACTAGTTATTAGTTAATGTGATCTTACTATAAATCATTATGTCTGTTAATTTTTTCTAACTATATATGCAAAGCAAATATGTTAATCAACATCATGGTATATTTACAACTATGTTACCATTAACACGTTTAATTGCATTTAAAATTGTAACTTTATACCTAGAAAAGTGTTTCAGGCACAAAGCTTACCATTCTACATATCTAAGTTCATAATTATAATATATAAAATCTTATTTTTAAATGTTTTAATTTTTTCCATCTCCACACAAAAATTATTTTTTCTGCAATACTGTACCTTAATTTTTCCTTCAGAATTTCAAGTTCACTTTTATATAGACCACACTTTTCTTGTAGCCTTTTATTTTCTTTTTCACAGTTAACTAGATTTTTTTCTAATATTTCTTCTTCAGTTTGAACCTAAAACAATAAATTATTGTTAAGTACAACTACTTATATGGTCATGAGTTTAGGTGTTTCAAATTTAAAATGTAGGTAGTATTTCACAAGCAGGAGAGTAGACTAAGTGATTTCATGTTTTAAGTCCCCAGACTTATAGTGCAAAGAAGCAAAGTGAAGTTCCTGGGAGTAATGAAAGACAAGGAGGATGCTACTTACAGATGGGCAATTGCACTGTCACTTAAAAGCATAAATGTTCTGGCCTCATTTGTACAAAGCAAGCAACTCAAGTAGGAAGGCTGCTCCCAAATTACTAAAGGCTAATTTCAGTGCAAATATTTCAGAAGTACTTTTTGAAAGGTTAGTCACAAAATACTCCCACTGAAATAACAGTCTGAAATGTAAAACATAAAATTCAAGCACCCAGGTTGGAGCAAGAGCAGGGAAGGACTAGAATATCTGCCCTACTTCCTTTGTTACCCTTGGTTATATTCACCCAAGTGTAGGGATTTTACTCAGCAGAGTTAAAAATTGATAATCTTAAGGAAAGCATAAAAAGATGGGGCTGGGTTGTAGCTCAGGGGTAGAGCACTTGCCTCACATATGTGAGACCCTGGGTTCAATCCCCAGCATAAAAATAAATGAGCAAATCAAATAAAAATTTAAAAAAATAAAGTATAAAAAGTTTTCCTCTCTCTCCCTGAGGATATTCGTTAAGATATTCCCCTACAGATGTTATTAAGAATCCATCTAAGATATTCCATTCCCACAAGGACCTTCTCCAAGGCTTTCATAACAGTGATCTAATTAATTCATACTTAAGATTTCAGTATCTAATGAGATCTTAATATTTTACACTGCTAAATGGTATTTACAGTTTTATTACAAAAGAATGACAAATGAAATCTTCTCCATATTAGTACCTGATACAGTCAATAACTTCCCCTTTAAACTTTTTTATTCTTTAGCTGCCATGGCAGTATTTTAATAGACCTTTTTTCTTTACTTCCTTTTATTAATAACTCATTTTTTACTGGGCTTTTTTCCTTTTTCTCTTTGAAACTTTATTTTTCCCTTGCTAAAACTGTATTAAGCACTCACCCCAAGTCTCCTCAAGCAATAAAATCATTTTAAGCAACACCTTAACTTATGAGCCCAAAGGTATTTAATTCAATATTTTTAAATTTTCCTCCTTCCTTCCACCCAAAACTTTTTTTCCTGTATTTTTATCACTTTTTCCCTCTAAGGAACAAAAATGTCTTTATTTCATTAAAAATGGACTATATCATCTTTCATGTCCTTCAGACTCTTGTGCTGTTTTTCATTTCCCTGTGCTTCCAGAATTCTCAATTTCCCTCTGCCACACACTCCAATGACCCTTGTCTATGAAACCTACTAAGGTGTTCAGGGTATCCCTATTTGTAAAAACTCTGAATCAGCTTCTTTCTATATTTCTATCCTCTCCCCTCACCACCACTTATTGACTCTTTACCTTGTATAATGATATATCTTTAAAACTACCTCTACTTCCTCCCTTCCCATTTTCCCGCTTCTAAGATTGTGCCTTCTATATAGTTCTATCATTCTTCATCCTTCTTGACAAATTTGCAACATCTGGCACTGAAGATGATCATTAAAAACGCTCTATTGCATTGGATTTTCTTATTAGACTTTGATGATTTTTCTTTTTTTAATCAACTCTTCTCAATATATTTCAAAAGCTCTTCCACCTATTTTTTATCCTCTTATCATATACAAAATTCCTCTGTCAATATCCAAGCCGCCTACCACTTAAATACTGTCAATTCTTTTTTTGTAATATTTACTATTTATTTTTTTAGTTATAGTTGGACACAATACCTTTATTTTATTTGCTTTTATGTGGTGCTGAGGATTGAACCCAGGGCCTTGCACAAGCTAGGCGAATGCTCTACCGCTGAGCCACAACCCCAGCCCAAATACTGTCAATTCTTCTTTTTTTAATCTTTATTGTTTAGTTGGAGGTGGACACAATACCTTTATTTTATTTATTTATTTATATGTGGTGCTAAGGATCGAACTCAGCGCCTCACATGTGCTAGGCAACCACCCTACTGCTGGGCCACAATCCCAGCCCCTAAATACTGTCGATTCTTAAAATGCAGTTCTAGTCCAGATTTCAATGTCTAAGACAAGACTGGGAGTCACAAATATCTACTTCTAGATATTCTATAGACATTCCAAAATAGAATTCATCTTTTCCCCCAAATTATGTATTTTTATTCACGATGCACTCAAACTAGCAACCTAACAATAGTATATACTTTTCTCTCTTTCTGTCTGCTCCTAATATATTCAAGTGGTTACTAGATGCCACTGATTAACAGCTCTCGTATCTCTCTATACATATCCATCATCTTCAGTAACTCTTGCCTTGTCTCTCAGAGTGTCCTTGACTTGCATCCATCTCTCCAATACAATTCACAGTGATATCAGAATGAGCACCCTGAAACATGTGTTTGATCATTTCCTCGGCTTAAAACTATTTAATGATATGCCATCATCTTTGAAATACTCTAGCAACTCACATATCTCCTCCATGAAGCCTCTTCTGAGCCCACCATTTGTTAAATCTCCCTTTATGTCACCAACCATACCAAACAATTTATTATACTTTCTAAAATACTAAACTTATTTGTCTATATACCTGCAAATCTTACTAGACTGTGACCCCTAGGGAGGCATTATGTGTTACGTATAACTGAACCTTCCAGAGACTAGTCTAGAACCTGGCATGTAAAAGGAACTCAATAATAAGTGAACACTCTATGGTTATCCGTACTCTGAATCTTCTTACTCTACCTTTCTTAAAGATTTTTTTCTCTGCTCTCTTTAACAGAATCATTGAGTTCTCTTTAATTATTATCCCAAGATGGAAGTATCCCATATTGGTATCTCTTTACTAGACCTGTTCTGAGCTCAATATCTGAATATCCAACTCATGACCTTTCTTCATACAGGATTTATTAGTCTTTTTTTTTTTTTTTTTTTTTGTAACAGGGGCACTTGAACTTGAACTCAGGAGCACTTGAACAATGAGCCACATCCCCAGTCCTATTTTGTATTTTATTTAGAGACAGGGTCTCACTGAGTTGCTAAGAGCTTCACTTTTACTGAGGCTGGCTTTGAACTCACAATCCTCCTTCCTCAGCTTCCTGAAGCACTGTGATTACAGGTAGTGCGCCACCATGCCTGGCTATCATGAAGTCTTATTTAATAAGATATTAAATAAATGTAAAGAAGTCATTATATTCCTATATGGGATCAGTTTAAGCAACCATGCATCAGGGGAAGTGGGCTCCTCTTGGGCTGGTAGGTCAAGGAGACCAGTTGAAGGCTACATAATCTACTTGGCCTTCATTTTCAGGAGGTGAGGAGAATGAATCTCCTGCTTTTACCTCTCTAGCTCCAACCTCAACTCATACCATACTTCTCTATATTGTGTCCCTACTCTAATCTTCTTGGATTAAAAGAAAAAAAAAAGTTTATTCTGACAATAAATGTATTTAATAGTATCCTTAATTAATATTTTTTAAAAATCTTTCTTTCATTGGACACAGTCATATATGCCTGAAAACAGTTACTTGGGAGGCTGAGGTAGGAAGATCACAGGTTCAAGATAGCCCAGCAACACCCCCATTTAAAAAAACAAAAGAAAGAAATTATATGAAAAATATATAAATTTTGAAAATTCTTTATTTAAATGATTTTACTATGAATAAAATCATAAAAGTATTCTTCTTTAACCATAAATAAACATATTCTGCTT